CACTTTTCTGAAAGCATCACACAGCTTACTGAACTTTTAGATGGAATCCGCATCTGTGGACCAGCATCTGTGAACTCTCATGTGAAAAGATAAACAAGGTCATTGTTAAGAGACTGGTTGGTTTGCCTTGCAAAACAGAAAAATGGAATTTTATCTCAAAAAGTAAAACCTAAAATCAACACAAATTCACAGTTACATTCTCTAAAGACATTTGGAGTTGAAGGTGAGGTGTTTCAAGAGGATGATTGTGGCGAGCTTTCATTTTGTTTTATTCATGTGTTTGCAGTAATGAATGGAGAATGGGTTCCTGAGTGTACTGACCAATAGATTATAAAAATATCCCTCAGAGATTTTTTTTCCCCAATAGAAATTGAAATGTGGTGTTTATTCTGTTAAAGGAAAATGTCTAAGGGATAGAATAATGACTTTTACCACCTCTTTTGTAAAACTCTGGTACCTTTGAGGAATTGAGCTTCTTATAATATTCATATTTGTCACAAGTATCTTGGCTTGTGAAATAATTTAAATACATTAAGGAATGTTTTTAATTTAAATCAGTGATCATTAGTGAAGAAAATGAATTTAATAGGACCTGCTATGCCAATAGCTTGTATTCCAAAAAGCAACTTCTAAAATGCTGCTGGGATTCTTCAAAGGACTAAGAGTAGGTCCTTGTTTTGTGTACGCATTATTTAAACCATGAACAAGTTTTCAGATATCCATCGATTTATGATATGGGCTTATCCATTTGGTTATAAAGCCATATATAACTTTATCATGTAATCATTGACAATTGTTTCTATACAATAACTGGAAGAGTAGCTCCAGAACAAACACTAGAAAAAATGTCTGAGAGTAAAAAACTTAGAGTAAAGCGACAGTAATTTTTATTTTAACAGTTTTTGTGAACAATTTATAAAATATTTTGTGTAGCTCATAGTGCATATTTTGTTCTCCAACAGAAGATTCCCATTCTGATTTTCCATATGGATCATTTCCCCATATTGCTAGACCTAAACACTGGCACACTGGTCATACAGGTGAGCCATGTTTTCAGACTATTTATATTAAATGGTGTTTTTTCTTCTAATTCATGACTTACTTTTTTTCCTCTCTTAAATCAGCTTTTCTTGTCAAGTAGAGGAAGTTCAAACCACAATTTAACTGAGTACCCCAGATGACAGCAACTGATTTGAATACAGAAGAGGATCAGAATAGAACTTTGTGTTGCAAACCACTACTTTCATAGATTGGTATTTTTAACTATTACTATGATTTTTATAGCTTTTACAGACAATTTTGAAAAAGTAACAAAAGCTGAAGAAAGATATGTAACATTTCAGAACTGCCTAAATGTCTCATTTGGACACTTGTCTTGCAGTTTGACATTATGTAGCGAATGATTCCAAGTTGCTTTCCTTGAGCCATCTCATTCTTCACTTCCAGTAAACCACTCCATAGACTTGTCTGTCTTCATGAAATTGGTTTCCTTTCTTCATTTGAGTGATGGTCATTGGCTACTGAAATAAAGTATGAATTTTAAGATAAATTTTATGTATCTGTATATTTTAAATACATATTTCAATGGTTGTATGTATCGGTCAAAATATTAAAGAAGTCTGGGTTATAATAAATAATAGGGAGAAAATGTTAAGAATGATAAATCACCTTAAAAATTGTAATACAAGATGTAACAGTTCTTTAATCTCTGTGAAGATGTAACAATCCGTGAATCTCGGTTATCCTCTTAGAATCTTTTTAACCAGCTTGAAATAACTTCAGAATTGTTCTGTGTTATGATATAAATCAAATGTTTGGGGAAACATGAATTAATAAGGAACAGGGCTTATTATTAGTCATAGGGACCAGTTATTTAGCATTTGCCATGTACCATACATTATGTATGTTTTTTACTTAATATGTGCAACTCATATTTAAGGTCGTCCATATTTTAGAGATAAACAAACAGAAGCTTAGAATTGTTAGTTTGTTGTTTAAATATAGGTATTTTATAGGTTTTAAAATACAGGTTGAATATCCCTTTTCCAAAATGCTTGGGATCAGAAGTGTTTCAGACTTCAGATTATTTAGGATGTTGGAATATTGGCAGAATACATACCAGTTGAGAATCCCTCATCCAAAATCTGAAATGCTCTAATGAGCATTTCCTTTGAGCATCATGTTGACACTCAAAGTTTCAGATTTTGGAGCATTTCAGAATTCCAGTTTTCGGATTAGGGATGCCCAACCTGTAGTAATACATTTGCTGCTTTTCCTGAATTTATCCCGTAGGCTAGAAATATTTGAAATTATATATATAGCCTTAACACCAAGGTCATGGGTTTGGATTCCCGTACTGGCCCGCCACATATTTTGTATATGTGTGTGTGTGTAAAATTTTTTAATAATATTTTACAGACTATGGAAATTTTTAACCTAAAATCTATGCCTTTATAGAGCTTATAGTCCATAGTAGAGCTAGACATTAAATAATAAAGAAATATAACACTAAAAGTGTTATAAATGCTCCAAAGAAGTACAGGGTACTACTATGAGTAACCATAATAGGGGTTTTGCTGTAGCAAGTGACAATTGAACTGAGAACCAAATGGTAAGTAGGAATTAACTACAGCACAGAAAATGAGAACAAAAAAGGCCAATGATGCTGTGGTTAAGTAAAAAGATTGGAAAGATAGATGGGGGTCAGGCCCTACAAGATCTTATAGGCCTGTAAAGGAAAGATTGTTTATCCTAAGAAAAATGGGGTACCATTGAATTAATTAAGAGATAATAAGCTTATATTTTTGTTTTGGAAAAAATCACTCTAGCTGCATTTGGAAGACTAATTGAATCAGGAGCAGAGTATTTTTCTGGTGTTACATTTCTGTATAACTACCTGAACACCTATACAATAATTATGCCTTTAAAGTTTTCCTAACATCTCCAGATAGGTAGAAGCTGTGAAGTACATTTTTAAATTCCATCATGGAGTACTCCCTTTATTTCTGGCCTTCTATTTAACTACTAGCAAAATTCTGTCATTCTTTTATTGTTTTGAATGCCTGTTATATGTCAGATCCAAATGGTCTACTTGGAGACAGACTGGGTTAAGAGCAAAGAAAAGTTCTGCCCTTTCCTCCTACTTCATGTAGAATACTTAGTTTCTGTTCAGCACAATCTTCATTTCAACAAGACCTCTCTAATCATGTTCATTCTAATTTTAAGTTGAGTTGAAGACCAAACAACTTAAGAATTTATTTATATACTTAATGAAGGCCCGCTTTAAGCCCTTTCTCTGGCCCTCCTCTGAACACTGCATATGTTTATGATCTGGTTTACAGGACAGATGCCTTCTAATGTTAGCCTTCTATGTCCATGTCTGGCTCTCATTTATCATACTGTAAACTTCTAGAGATTTGGGACTGTCTCAAAACTGTCTTTCCAATGCTTTCCAGAGGCCCTGCCTTTTCCATCCAGTAAATGACCAGTAAGATTTGCTGATTACAATGAGTTGAAAAGTGCCATGAGGAAGCTGTTTATGATCAAGGGAAGTTTAGGAGAGAAGTGACATTCCAGAGAATCTCAATCGCCTTTTCCATCCAGCAAATGACCAGTAACATTTGCTGATTGCTTTAAGCCCACACTAGACTATGAGTTATTTCATCTGTTGACTTGGTTGGTCTAGGGAGAGATTTAGATGTCTGTGTATATTGTGGATTGTGGAAGGCTTTGCTTTTTGTTTATTTGTTTCCGGTGGCTGATTGGTACAGGGATACGAACCCTTGACCTTGGTGTTACAATACCACACTCAAACCAACTGAGCTAACTGGCCAGCCCTGATTTTGAACTTTATATTTCAGAGGCAATGGGAACTTCTGAAAGATTCATGGTCATTTAAAGAAGATATTTTAGGGAAGTTAATCTCTTAGTGGTGTCTGATTATTTAAAGGGAGGAAAAAAACTGTTAAATCAGATTTCATAGTAATGCAAAGGTACTTCAAAAAGTTTGTAGAAAAATAGAATTAAAAGATAATATGAATCTTGCCCAGAACTTTTCTAAGTACTCTTATACTTAACTATGGGATTAGTAGTGGAAAAAGGGCAGATAGAAAAAATATCGTAGGACTGGCCCATGGCTCCCTTGGGAGTGTGTGGTGCTGATAACACAAAGGTCTTTGGAATTCTCTCTCAACTCACTCAAAGAAGAACCAAACTGGTGACTTGTTGGATATAGAGGAAAAGAATAAATGTATTTTCAGACGTCTGCTATTCAGAAGCCCTTTCCCTTACTTCTCTGGGCATAACAGGACTCAGTCAATGCCCAGCTCGTTTATTACTGCCTCTGAAAAGCTTCACGAAATCACACACCCCACAGAATTAGTTCTGGAATTTTTTTGTGCTTCTAAGTGTTGATCATATAATGAGCATAGCCCTTATCACATTATTAATTTATATTCCATGACTATGCCTTAAGTATAAAGATCCCAAACATGGATAACTAGGACAGTGGGAATGACAAAAATAAACAGGAAAGTTTAAAGCAGGATCTATTTTTGAGGAAAAATTATTTGCTTTTAGATTATCTAATAGTTGGAATGTTCCGTGCCTACCTTCATGAACCAGGCTAAGGCTTGGTATATTTTTTCCCTTGACTTCGCTCTAAAATGTCAGGTGTCCCAGGATAATACATAATACATACCCATGTTTCACCCGGACCAACCAAGGTGTCATACGGCATAAGACAGCATAAGTTAAAGAGAAATAAACGTTGTTAAATTAAAAATGTGCTGTTTATTCGGATAGAACTGGGTTCCCATCCTGTTATTGCTATTGCTATTGTTTTACCTGGTAACGGTGTGACTTTTCTGAGTTTGATTTTTTCATCAGCAAAACGAGTATCATAATGCCACTTCAAGAATTCTTTGGGGGTTGAGTGTCAAGTGAGATTACCTTTATAAATGCCTGGATCATGATTGGTGATTGTGATGTATGTAAATTTGTAAAGAATGCTTCATCTATTCCTCACTCCCCAAAGTGAGATGTTTGGATAGTGTTTTCACCCCACCTTGTCAAATTGAAAAAACATTTTATTCTTAATGTCATAAATATGTTTATGTAAAACTTGTTTTTTGGGACTGACCCCGTGTCGCACTTGGGAGAGCAGCGATGCTCCCGCCGTGCATTCGGATCCTATATAGGAATGGCCAGTGCACTCACTGGCTGAGCGCGGTGTGGGCGACACCACACCAAGGGTTGCGATCCCCTTACCAGTCACGAAAAAGACACACACAAAAAAAACTTGTTTTTTGAACATGTTGTTTAAAAAAAAAAAAAATTAAATGTAGAAAAACATGTTTTTACCTGAAAATCAAGAAGTTGCTTGTGTTTGAAACAAAGGTGGAAGAACTGATAGCCATCTATACTAAATTTTAGTATAAAAGCCTGGAGCAGAACATCAGCTCTTGTGTTTCTCTTGGAGAATGCTGAATTAAGTTTTCTGCAACCACAAATCATCAGGTAATTCCAACCTTCTGTGGACTCAGCTCTTGTGTTTCTCTTGGAGAATGCTGAATTAAGTTTTCTGCAACCACAAATCATCAGGTAATTCCAACCTTATGTGGACTGAAGGAAGAAAAAATTTGCTATCAGTGGTCACTACTGGGAATCTGACGCTGCTTAGGTAGTGAGAGACTGAGCCCACTCTCGATAACATCATGTGTCCCTATTACCCTCCACTGTTCCCTTCCCACAATCCCCATTAGTACACTCTCTGTTAAGCCTATTGGAAGAAAATGAATATAAATTTTTACTGGTCAAATGTGTGTGTGATCAATACTTTTTCTTTTTGTTGCCTATACTCATATTCGGAAACAAAAGGTTTTACAGTTAACCTTCAGTTAATACTGAGAATAAGACATTGATGGGTAAATACTTGTTGCTTCCCGTATAGGACCTATGAGTCCTAAATGAAGGCTTTTATCCAGGGACAGGATGAAATAACAGTTCCTTTTAAAATCAATACCTGACTTTTCATCCATAGTCAAAGACCTGCTTTGTTCCCAAAGCAAACTGACGGGCAGAGCCTCTTACTCCCTGGGTGGACTCCAATTTCCTGTTGTGATGTCAAGGCCTAGATTAGAGTGTTACCACTGTAAATCTATCTACAGGAGCTAATCTGAATAAATTTAACTGTTTCTGTTCTGCTTTCTGTACATATCTGTTCAGATTGTATTTGAAATTTTCTCTCAACTCACTCAATACAACCTTTCATCAAGGACATGGTTCTTAATTTCACCACTCGACTTCTGTAGCAGTTTACTATCACTGCCAAAGGCAGGATTTCATTGAAAGCACAGTAGAGCATACTGGTTAGGAATTCTGGTTCTAGTCAAGGGTCAGATTGGATTCAAATGCCATTCCACCACCTCGGGCAAATTACTCAACCTCTGGAAGTCTCAGTTTCCTTATCTGCCAAATGGAGATAATACTATTTACCTTATGGTTAGCTGTGAATATTTAATGATATTATGAATGTAAAATGCTTACTCTATTGCCTTCGGCATTTTAAATATCCAGTAAATCTTACCTACTATGAGGATCAAAGTGTGTAAAGGCAAAAGGAGCTGGGAGAAAGGGGAGGGATGCTAAAATGCAATTCTTTTAATTTAGCTTATGGGGGACCCTATTTACCTTCAAACATGAGTGAAAAAATAAAAATTATGCTTGGAATTGTTGAAAGGGAAGAGACTATACTTGTTAGTCGAAGTTTTTGAGTGATTGCTATTGCCAGGGAAGGGAACAATGACTAGGCATGACACCTACCTTCAAAAGTCTTAGAGTCTAGTTATCCCCTTTAGTAAAGTTTCGAGTTAATCTCATAGGGACGTGGTAAAAATAAATAGGTGAAATTCTGAAATATTGTGGGTCTGCTAATTTCTCATGACAGAGTTAGAAAGGATCATGAGAAATCTGTCAGTCCTAACTTCAGTTGGTTGGAAATCTGGAAGAAAGGCTTTATAAGAAGTTAAAAGGATCACTGATTGTAGAATATTATTCTAGTACTGTTTCAAATCTAGAAATGTCAGAGAACTACTATATCTATATAAAAATAATTTGAATGAAACTTAGGGTGTGGTTGTATTTCCAGTTCATATGATTATTTTCTAAGTAATATGGTATTGTTCACAGCCACTTAAACCCCAACATAAATGTTTTATGATTAAAAAAAGCAGGCTTTGATATAGTATGTTTTTGATTTTGTTAGAAATGAAGTATATAAAAAGAAACAAATAGTTAGATGATGAGATTACAAGTAAATTTATTTTCTTCTTGAAATTCCTTTTGGTTTTTTGTTTGGTTTATTTTGGCGGCTGGCCAGTACAGGGAGCCACAGCTGTGACCTTGATGTTACCAGTACCACACTGTCCCAAGTGAGCTAAAATGCCTGTCCTTTAAGCCCCTTTTTAACAAAATAAACATTTCAAAGAAACGATTCAGTCTCTTAAAATACTAAATACTTAAAATGCTTGAGGCTTATGTTGCATTAGGTTTCAATTTAATATATCACATTAATAATCCTTTATGTATAGGTACGGTACCACAAAACAGATATGGACACGACAAAAAGTGGTAAGTGAAAGGGGAAAACTTCCAAGACTAACCTAACTTATATTGTTGTAGTACATAAATTATTACGTATCCATGCCTGTAAGGACTAACTTGAGCTCAATAACTAATATGCATAAATCTAATTCTGGCGTATCAATGATTCATACCTTGAGAATAGCTACAAGCTTGAGAAGGATCAACTATTATATCCATTGAGACTGAGTTGTGTAACTCCTGAGAATGTTTTTCCATCACCTCTACTGTATCACTGGATGATGATGATGTAGACAATCCCAGTCTAACATATCTTTTTCTTCCTGTTTTACCACAGAGTGAACAATCTACTGGTTTGGCACTAGGTCCCCGGGGCAATTGAACTTCATCTCTGTTGTACCTTCTGACAGCTCCACTGTGATGCACAGAGCGTTCTCGTTGCCATATATAATGGGATGGTGCAATGGCCATAACCTACAGTGCAAAGCTTACTTTTAGAATTTTAATAAGATTTTAGTAAAATTAAGTACAAAAATTACAACAAAATGAACAGCTGTCTCTAAAGTAAGATAAAAATCTAAGTTACCAATATATTTAAAAATCTCCAGATAAGGCAGTATTACTAAGCTGTAGTTCCCCCTTATCTGAGGTTTCACTTTCCACGGTTTCAGTTACCCGTGGTCAACTGCAGTCTGCAAATATTACATACAATAAAATATTTTGAGAGAGAGGGTCCACATTCACATAACTTTTATTGCAGTACACTGTTATAATTGTTCTACTTTATTATTAGTTATTGTTGTTAATCTCCTATAGTGCCTAATTTATAAATTAAACTCTCCTTGTGTCCATGGGTGATTGGTTCCAAGGACCTCTCTCAGATACCAAAACCCATGGATGCTCAAGCCCCTGATACAAAATGGCACAGTATTTTCATATAACCTAAGCACATCCTCCCATATACTTTAAATCATTTCTAGCTTATAATATCTAATACGATGTAAATACTATGTAAACAGCTATTCTACTGAATTGTTCAGAGAATAATGACAAGAAAAAAAGACTACATGTTTAGTACAGACACAATTTCTTTTCCGAATATTTTCAATTTGCAGTTGGTTAAATCCACGGATGGGGATCCCTCAGATATGGAGGGCTGACAGTATTTAAATTATTCCAAACAGGAAAAAGGACTGAAGCAAAGTCCCAGACTGTATTTCTTTTTAATTTTGAGTATTCTAAGTTTGGGAAAGATAATACAGTTAGCCCAGAACAATACTTTGGAATGTGTTGGGTTAAAAAATTTAATTGAGGTTCCCAACTACGTTTGTAGGTTAGGCTAATCTTAAAGCTTTTGCAATTATGGCAAGGGATATGGTGAATAAGAACACATGTAAAGAACATATGTATCTCATATGTAATATGGAGAAAATGAGTGTCTATTTTAGATGATTGTTGTGAGGATTAGATGAGGTATTATTTATAAAACACTTAGAGTCCTCAATATCTGTCAGGCATTGTTCTGTAAAATCTGTCAAATAAATCATGGGCTTTAATTCAGGATAGACTTAAGTTTCTCATTCTGGCTCTGCCACTTACTAGCTGAATAACACTGGGGAAGTTATTTCATCTTTCTGAGGCTCAGTTTCTTCATCTGTAACATGGGGATACTATCTAACTCACAGGATTGTTCTAAGGATTAGATGATATGTGTAAAATCCTTATCACTTAGTAAGCATCTGGCAAATGATAGCCATTTAAGAAGTAAAGCTAGAAAAAAATGTACCTATGTGCTGACCTCATGGAATCTAAAACTTCTAAGCATTCTAAGCAAAAACTCTAGTTGCAGTTATCGGCAACACAAAGTAAATAAGAACTATGTGAGAGCTGAACAGTGACTTTCAATTGCTTAGACTAGTGATTTGCAAACTCTTTTGAGAGCCCTAAGGTTTCATGGAGGTGTTATTATGGGCCCCAGGAGGGGGAAAGGGAAGATGGAGCAAGCAGAGCAGCTCAGTTTGGGGAATTGTGGCTACAATTTTGTTTGGAAAGAAAGCTTTTGCGATTAAAAGTAAAAACCTTTTGAAAAACTCCAGATTTAGACTCGTTCTCCCAGAAAATGGGGTTACTATGGTCTCCCACAAGATAATGACATAATCCTATGTTATTTTTTTATAGAACTGATTTTATAATCCTTCAAAATAGTTTTCAACTAAAGACATGTAATAAAATTTCATATATAAAAAAGTAGAAAGAAATAAAGATAACTCTAACTGTAAACATTTCTATAACAATGTACAACTAGTTTCAAAGCTTCCTAAGATGAGGAAGTAGAATTCGAATTTCTTATCCCTTCCATATTTATCTACTATTTTTTCCTCAACACTTCTATATCTTTTCCTGTGTCTGGAAATGTCCTCTCCCTTTGCTCTTCCCTCAAGACAAAGCATAAATCCCAACTTTCTAAAAACTCCAGCTTTCAGATATCTTTTTTTTTGGCAGCTGGCTGATGTGGGGATGATAATATCATTTTTAGTGATTGAGGAAGATAATTAAGAATTAGAGAGGCCATTGACATTATGAACCTTCAACAACATGATTTTTGTAGGAATCCTATAGCAGAGTGTAGCAAGAAGAGCGGAGGGAAATAGGAAGCAAAGGGCAGAAAATGGAAATTTTGACAAACTGTTATTTTTGCAATAAGCTAGGTATTATACTCTCTCCATATGCTAACCCAGCTAGAAAAATACACACCCACACTTGTTTATTTTCGAATATGTCTGTATATATTTTATACACTCATATACAATAATCTTTCTCTCCTCTATCATATAATTAGAGTATTACTGTGATAAAAGCAGTGAATTAAAAATAAAATTGTACCAGGGTTGAGAGCTGAATTTTGGCCTTAATACTATCAGTTTTATGACCTTGGGCAAATCATACAACTTTCTGGGTCACGGGATGCCTTTTCGACATGAGAAAACAGGTCACTTTCAGTCCTCAAATGCTATAATACATGAATGTGACTGCTCTAAGGCATTGGTAGCAGCTTACGTACTAGAAATGTTATCCTCCTTTTTACTTTATCTTAGTCTTCCATCATTTTTAGTAATGGGGGGGTGCCTTTGGTGAGTGTTCCTAAAATTTAATACTTGGCCCTCTGTTTTTCTCTATTTATACTCTACTTCTCTGTGATCTTGAAGAATAGCATTTGAATACCGGTGTGCTTCTTCACTAATTATGTGTCCTTGAAGAAGCACTTAACCTTTCTGTGCCTTAGTTTCCTTATCTGGGATTTAATAGCTAGCTCTCAGAATTGTTGTGAGATGATGACTTCACAGACTACCCTGATTTGATCACTACACATCATATACATGGATTGAAATATAACTCTGGGGCCGGCCCAGTGGCGCACTGGATAGGTGCGCCGCTTGGGAAGCGCGGCGGCGCTCCCGCCCGGGCGCACGGGTCCCGCAAAACATCCCGG